GACCTTTGGATTTGTAGCCAGGAATGCTTGCCACTCGGCCACGGAGGCGATCCCGGGAAAGATTTCCACCTTTAAGCCAATCAATCCTATCCCCACCGCTTACCTTACAAAATCTGGTACAATTTTTCGTTGTACAGGTATGTTGTTCGTCTAAGTAGTATTACATGAATTGCAGGATATTCTGGGAGTTTTTAGTTCGCTGAGTACCATTTCTGCTGTTACTTCAAGGGTGTAGTCCTCCAAGGAGGATCTTGCGTGCCTTATTCTCTGGTGTTTTATAGATACAGGAATCTGTTTTGTTGAATTTGAGTAGAAATGGACTCGAATGCCTTGTGTGTATGTTGTTGATGTCTTCATATTTATTTAAGATTTTTCATAAGTTTGAAGTAGTTAATTTTTAATGTAATGCCAATTTCCGTGTAGTTGAGATTTCTGATGTTGCCGTAGTATGTGCACCATATTCGGTCTGAACAATCGAGACTGGCTTTTCAGATGTAATTTTCGGCTTGGTAGTTTTCGTTTGAAATTTGATACGAGATTTAGAGTATTTCTTTTGGTGCGAAAAGGAATCATTTGTTGCTGTACTCACACATTTGGCTGTCTGATGTTCACTTGTTTTTTGATCATCCGCGGAAGGTGGAGTGGTGTCCACAGTTAGCGCTTTGGCAGGTTTCCAGATTTCGGCTGCTAATGTCTTGGAGGCTGTGAAGTGTTTGTTGTTGTGTTCTTGTAGAGAGGATTAATCCGATCCGACGAGCGGGTCATGGGTTCAGTTGGTTGCCTTCTTTCCGTGCAGAAGAGACTTTGTTTGTCTGTAAATTTTACTGGATTCTTGCATATGCTTTCAATCGTCTATTTCTATCGAATGCAATGCACTGCACTCAGTATCGATGTTGACAAGCGCTAGTTTGCGAGCATAATCTCAATGAGTTAGTAAGCAATCCGCTAGTCGGAATTTCGAGTAATATAGGAAGCAGGAGAGAAATGAAGAATTGGCCTTAGTTCTCATTGGTTCGCCCGCGGGACAGAAAGAAACCGCTTGGCTCTCACACGACCAACGGGCGAACCAATAGGAAAGAAGATCCGGAGATTTGAGGACAAAATAGGGGAAATTGTAAGGGTGTTCGCTAACTTGGTGAGGACCGGTGATCACGAACAGCACGTACTCTTCTGCAGGTTACATACTCCGCGAGAGCTGGTTCATGAGGAGGTACCCTAAAAGTATAACTAACTTCATGAGAAGTCGCCAATTGTGCAGCCACTCGAGAATTTCGCAGCAATTTATGGAACCCGAAGGTTCATTGCCGTGTTCAAGAGAACTCTTCACTGGTCTCTATCCTGAGCCAGATCGATCCAGTCCATACCAGGGCATCCCATTTCTCTAAGATCCATTTCAATATTATTCACCCACCTCCGTCTTGGTCTTCTTAGTGGCCTCTTCCCTTCCGGCTTTCCCACCAATATCCTATATGCATTCCTCTTCTTCCCCAATCGTACTACATGCCCTTACCATCCCATCCTCCTTGACTTGATCATTATAATTATACTTGGAGAAGAGTACAAGTTATAAAGCTCCTCATTATGCAGTTTTCCCCAGCCTCCTGTTACTTCATACCTCTTCGTTCCAAATATTCTCCTCAACACCCTGTTCCCAAACACCCTCAGTCTATGTTCCTTCTTGAATGTTAGAGACCAAGTTTCACACCCACACAGAACCACAGGGAAAATTATAGTTTCGTGTATTCTAATTTTTATCTTTTATAGATAGCAGACGAGGAAAAAAGCTCGTTGACTGAATGGTAGCAAGTGTTACCCGAATTCATTCCCTTCTTCATTTCCTGTTGAATTAAGTTTTTGATTTATTGCTGTCGTTCCCAGATTGTTGACGTGCCGCAATTTCGAAACATGTGTTAGCTATGTCATGATTTTGCCCTGCATTCTGCTAACAAGACAGCAACATATACTTAGTTTTCACTGCGTTTACTTCTAGATTATTCCTCTTACTTGTGTCAATTAAAGTTTGTGTGTTTTTCTTTGCGGTATCTATGTTATCACCCAGTAGATTCACATCATCAGCATAGACCAGCATTTGATGTGTCCCATTTAATTTCAGTCTCGCCTGGCTTTCCTGGACGTTCCTAATGACATATTCTAAAGCAAAGTCAAAAATAGTGGCAATAAACTTCTTGTTTTAGATCTTTTGGATAGTAAAATTATCAGAACAATATTTACTTATACGGACTTTACTACACGTTTCGTTTAAACCCCTTTTTATTAGCCTAACTAGTTTATGGGTACCCCAAACTCCATGAGAGTATTGTGCAATACTTCCTTCCTAGCTGAATCATCGGCTTTCTTGAAGTCTACATATAGCTCATGTATTGTCTCATTGAACTCACATTTTTTCTCCAGTATCTGACTAATGCAGAAATCTGATCTGTAGTTGATCTGTTACACCGAAACCCACACAGATGATACCAAATAATTTCATCTAAATATGGACTTAAACTTGAGAGAAAGAAATTGGATAAACTTTTGTATGAACTTGATAGCAGTGATATCCCACGATAATTACTGCAATCAGTTTTAACGCCCTTCTTGTGAACTATCGCCATAATAGACTCCTTCCACTGATCAGGCAATTCTTTCTTACTGAAAATAGAAGTAACGAGCTTGTGGATCACAGATCGCAACGTTTCACCTCTTGCTTAAATCAGTACTTCCGCAATTTGATAGCTACCTGGCGATTTATACCTTTTCAACTTTGCAATAGCAATTTAAACCTCAGAACGACTAGGATCAGGTACCAGCGGTTCTGCTGTATATATTTCAGTCTTCCTAACATCATGACCCTACGTACATTCCGTAACTGAGAGAAGTAATTCTTCCACCTATTCAAAATCTTGTGGGAATCTGCAAGCAGATCAACATTCTCATCCTTCACTATGTTGCTTCTAGGTTGGTATTCTCTCTTAAATTAATTTATTCCTCTATATAGGTCTCTAATGTTCTTGTTCTTACTGTTTGCTGAAAACTCATTAATTTTTTCTTTCAGTTGCCCCCTCTTTTTATTTATGAAATTCCTGCAGACTTCACGTCTTGTATATTGTTCAGGTTGTCCCCATTTATTTGCTTGGATTCTGTAACAACTGCAATTTGGTTTATTTCCTTTACAGTTATCAATCAACTTCTGAACTTGATATTTCGGTCTGTAAGCACCTTTATAAAGAATGTCTTACCGAAGAATTTACTGAACTCCTGTATGTTTTAGACATCATAGACTGTAGAACATCCATGTCAAAGGCTAGAGCGGATGTGAATACTGTAGTACTACGGTTTGTAATTACTGAGAAGCAATTTTCTAAAGACCTTTTAAATTCAGCTTTAAAAGAATTAATTTCTTCCTAACATTTCAATAATCCATTACAACTCTTTGATATGTAGCAATGGCATGGTTCGAATAGAGTTGATTGTTACAAGCACAGATAAATAAAATTAAGTTTTTCCTGTGGAATCGACGGTCGTTGTTGCACATGGCTGCGCACGTGATTATATGCTGATTTGGCATATCTTCGCTTTTATTGCAATTCATTTCATTTCATTCCCATCGGGTATTTTGATACTGGATCACAGAATTTCGTGTTATACTCATTTTCTTATTCTGTAAAGAAACTATTTATGTAACGCAATTATCCAGATTACAGAGGTTGTTCCGAAGTTGCCAAGACCTCGTGCAAAAAAAAATATATATATATTGAGGCAATAAATTAGGATGTCTTTCTGGTATTTACTGAATTAAGACTGAATAGTAAGAATTTATGTTATTCAGATCTACATATAATATGCCTTCTTAAAAAACTTCTTTTAGTTAAAAGGGTTCCATAAATAGACAGCATTACAATTATTGACTTTCTGAACATTATTCATCGTCCTATTATTAAATAAAAAAACAGGGCTGTGGATAATGCTCTAAAAGTTAATATACCACCGCCAGAAACTTTTAGATCTTTTTAGCATTACGTTTTACAAACCCCAGTAATGATTTATCTTCAAATATTCAGTACAAATTATGCAGTCAAGGAGACACACTGTTTGTTAGGAAGGTTGATAATTATGTTTCTAATGTAGCGTGTTTGATTTGTGCCACTTACAAATTCGAAAGGTTCCAAACTGTCTGTTGGGATATTAATGAATGTTACTGTGGCAGCTGGGATCAGTGACCTCCAGGAAAAGTGAAAGTTACAAGTTAGATACATTGAATTCAAGCCAGACAGGCAGATAGAGTGACAAGTTGTGACATGATCAACAAATTCGTTTTTATTAATATGTTATGAATTCATCCCACTGTCCGTTTCCTTTTACGTTTAGCATGCCTCTGAAAGATTTATCTCTAGTAGTAATCTATTACTTAACATGGCGCTGGTCATTCATATTTACTTAGTAGTGCATTGAAATAATGAAGAGAATGAATCAGATTATGTAGAATTCTATCATCTGAAATATAACGTCGTGTAGTTGGGCGAAAAGTCAACCGACGTCTCGGAGAAATACATCGTCCGAGCTGTAGGGTGTAAGAGTAAGCGAAGCAAGAAAGCAGCATTCCTGCTGGAATATGTAAGCAAAATGTTCCTCCAGAACACGATTACACAGCGTTATATCCCAGAAGAGTCAATTGTTCATAGCCACAGCCGTGAGAACCTAAATTGCAATATTGTTAAATTTATTCCCACTTCTAACGACTTGGTAGTGCAGTACTGTTTCTTTTCAGTTATAGATAAAGCGTACTTCACGACGTTCCATCTTTATTGGGACTTAGGCAAGACATGAACTACATTAGGAACAAATGTGTATGTAAGCAGGAAGAGAAAGTGCCAGTGTAGCCTTGATGTCAGACTGAACCTTACATACAAGTGTAAAAAGTGAGACTGAAGGTTAAAGAAGGATACTTGTCAAGGCAGCCGCTCTGAGTGTTTCCATATCCAGTGAGCATTTATAAAAAATAGGATTTAGCTGACCAATGACTAATGCTTTTTTCAGCTGAGAGGGCCAATGAGAGTTGGGGAAGGCTAGGACAACAAGGTGTGTCTGGTGGGCCACTTTGTATGCAGTAAAATGCATATGTCCTTGTATCATACGTGAAACTGGAACGTGTGAGGTAGGTTCATTTTATGATTTTCAGTGGATATTCCGAGTGAAGAAGCAGTAATACTCAAACTGTAAGTACTTGTGGTAACGTATTAACGTGTTTAATTTTTCTAACATAATAATATTAATGTAAATTGATATCATGTTGAAGTTGAGGTTCTCACAGCAATGACTATGAAGAATACGATCTTCTTTGTTGTAACAAACATGCCACCGGTTTCTTGATTAGTTTGCTCTTTGAAGACGGATATGATACGTTCCCCCAAAGCGTTGGGCTTTCTCTGAATTACGCGTCGTTATAACACAGAAAGCCTCTCAAAGTAACCGCACGGCCTAAGTTCTGAACTGCCTTTGCTCGCTCGAACACTGGGATCGTAGGTTCGAATCCCACTCAAGGCATGGATGTCTGTGTGCGTTTATTCTGCTGTATTGCTCTGTGTGTAGGTAGAGGCCCTGCGACGGGCTGCTCACTCGTCCGAAGAGTCCTACCGTCTGTGTAAAACAAGAAAACATTAAGAAACTGACGAGCAGGCCGAGGCCCAGTGGCTGCAGAGCCACTGATGCATGAATGAAATAACATGGAAGACGGCACTGTTCAAATAGAATGTTTTTGTTTTGCAAGATTATAAAATTTTCGGCCGAAAAACTGAAGATACAAGTAATATTAAACATTTTATAACATATTTTATTTGTTTTAATATATGGATTTGGTGTTTTAATTTATCCAGTCGGTATAGTGTTTAAGCTGTAGGTTGGATAACCGAAGAATCGAAATCCGATCCGCTGCAGGCAAGAGATTTCTTCCTTTTTCGCAGCTCCTTCCAGTCCGCTATGCAGTATGCACCCCAGGGAACAGGAGGCCTGAGTGTGAAGCTCGTTACTCTGTAAAAATTCTATGTGCCTTTCTACGCGAATCAACATTATTCGGTGAAAACTTACATCATGGTATTTTGAGATGTACTTTCACGAAAAATTGGATTAGCGCCCATGTTCGGCGTCTACTAAGAGGAGGTAACTGTGAAAGAGAAAGATTTTTTTTTATTATTTATTGGCTGCTACAAGATATAAGCAAAATGTTACAAAGACTAGTTCGCTTGAACTAACAACCTGTTTTAATTTGACACTAAGTTACTAAGATTATATGAAGTTAAGTTCGCCCATCGGATGCCTTATCTGTCGGGCTGCTTGTCTAGTTCGTAAGGTTTGGTCCGTTTGAGTCGCCTGGTTAGGTTTCCCACATTTAGGAGCCTGGACGCTTCTTCATTGACGTGTTGTCGAAATCTGTTTTCGTGTGAGGCGGCGTATCTTGCAATAATGGATGCAACTGTTTCGACATCGAGGTCTCGATGGAGGTCCCTGTTACGTACATATCAGGCCGCATCTGCTATGATTCTTAGTACTTTGTTCTGGTATCGTTGGATTACTTCGATGTTGCATTTTTTCGCACATCCCCATAGTTGGACGCCATATGTCCAGATGGTCCAGATTGGTCGCAGCATTTGTTTATACAGGAGCAGCTTGTTGTACAGTGACAGTTCTGATCGACGTCCGATCAGCCAGTACATAGAGAAAGAACTGACTGGAAATTATGAGGGGCCTGCATTTTGAGATGCTGACGGTGCAGAAATTAGTAGTGATGTGCAGGAGTCCACTGGGAGAGTGGAGTTTTCAGCGATCCCAACACATGGACCAGAATAGGTAACTTCGTATTTGTGTCTGAGGTACATTGTAAACCACACGCAGTGGCGTAGTTAGATTATTGCTAAGGGAACTGGGTGAAATTGGGTAGTTAAATACGGGTATAGTACATTTTGCAGAGGAAGACGTCCAAATTATTTGGAACCTATGTTGTTGGGATTTAAGGAAATGCTTATATTATCTGCCAAAATCGGTAATTCTAAGGTCTATTCCCGTAACAAATGATTTTGTAATTATAGTTCAAAATAGCCTACGTCTTTTCCGGTACAACAGCAAATAGGTAGACATTCAGACGTTTAATTCTGTATGCTGTGTTTTCTTTGCGGGGAAGTGAATTGTGTTCGTTTTTTCTTTTATGTACTTCGGAGTTTGTAAAGATCTAGGCAGCAGAAATAACCCGACTTCATTTTTGGTTACTCTGTTTTACTACCCTCATTGTTTGTGTTCAATTAAATTTGTGATTGTTAATCCTGAGTTATGAATGGCCATACTAAGACCATTTTCTGAAAATTGTATTTAAGTATACATGTTGCTATACCTCCATTCCACAGATCGCCATGGTATGGCGCTCAGTTAAGCAAAGCAACTTATATTTTTAATATTTATTTATTTACTTCCATTTATGTAGTTGGCCAACTAAGCCAGTAGGAAAGAGAGCACTAGGATGACCAAGGCGTAGGTGGGTGGGTAATATTAAAATGGATCTTAGGGAGATAAGGCGGAATGGTATGGACTGGATCGATCTGGCTTAGGATAGGGACCGGTGGAGGGCTCTTGTGAATGCGGTAATGAACTTTCGGGTTCTGTAAAATGTTGGGAAATCCTTGAGTAGCTGCACAATTGGCGGCTTCTTAAGAAGGGCTCTGCTCTATGAGTGAATGAGTGAGTGTGTAGTTGGAAAACTGATGAATTTAATAGTGTTTTATATGGTAAATATTCCTGTGCTCAGTTCAGCTTGCTTGAGTGTTGTGCTGAACAACAGAGTTGTTATTGCTGTAGGTTTGCTGTCGCATAAAAACAGTTGGTGAGATCAATGTCCTACAGTCAGTGAGTACTAAACAACAAAAACGAATAAAGATGATGGGGTCAGGAATTCTGTTGAGCGATATAGTAATCCGTTTACTAACAAAAACTCACAATTCATGCTTTTACATAGCACATTCCTACTTTCTGCACACACTAAATTGCGTTGAATGAATTAATAATTACAACAATGAATTGAGTCGGATTTTGAAGGTAGCGCTTGTGGCCCCTTTTAATATACTACCCCATGTTTGGAGGGAGACTGGAAACTATTATTATTTATTTAAACTGCAAATTGTTTTAGCTGGTGGCAGTGGTACTACAATAAGACACAACACACAAATAACACACGTCACACAAAATGACACACCACAGTCAAATAAAACACAACATCCAAAACTACATAAACAATAAAGGACACACTGCACACAATGAATACAGCACAAATACAATTACAACTACAATTAAATAAATTAATATTAATAAAATATAATTATACTATACACTAAACAGTAATAGTAATGAAATGCGAATGTCATGAATTGATGCACCCATATTTTACCATGAACTTCACTTTTTATGAATGCCCGCACACCTTCACTTCGCCCTATTTATCACTTTCCTAACAAATTTCCTAAAATTACTTGATTTACAGGAGAGAGTCCCTAGAACATCTGCAGGTAGTTGGTTCCAGAGATGGATGGTCCTGTTTACAAAGGAATATTTTCTGACGTGTGTCTTTTGCTTTCTGCTTCTAATTTTCCTATCATGATCGTCCCTGCTCAAATAGCATTGCCTTAGTAATTATCACATATAGCCTTCCGAGCCCTTTCACCCGTGTAAGCTTTGAAGAAAGCGCATATGCAAGCTATCTTTCTGCGCTGTGTCAAGGTTTCCCAGTTCGAATCATTTCTATGATGTGCAAATTTAGCCGTCATGTTTGCACCCGGTCTAGTGCATTTGTCTGTCCCTTCCTGTAAGGATCCCAGCACTCTGCCCCATACTCAGGAACCGGAATAACTAGTGATGTGTAGGCTAAACTCTTATTGTTACCATTTCAATTTTTAAGAATACGCATTGTAAAATGCAGTGCCTTCCAGGCTATTTTCACCGTGTAATTAACTTGATCACCCAAACTTAAATCACTGCGTAAAACTATTTTCAAGTATTTACAGCTGTTCGCTACCGGCGTTACTACGTCCCGTAACGAATAATTTAGTGGTTCCATCACTGTGGCTCTCGTGAAATAAACTTCATTGCTTTTAGCTGGATTAATTATCGTCGCAATTTCAACCGCCCACTCCCCCAGACTGTTCAGATCTGCAACTTTGCCACATACTTATTATTTATAATTTTCCTATATATTACACAAATATCTGAGAAATGTCTAAGGTAGAACGCACACCGGTATGCGTCAAGACATGTAACAGTCAAGACACGATGTCTGCGACTTGACGCTGAGAAAGGAGCACAGTTGAAACGAATGGGATTATGAAAACGGCCGCACACCGGTCTGAGTCATGACGTCAGCTTAACTGAATCAATATTTATCCAAATATAATTTACGTATTCAAAGAACAGTAGTGAACCCAGTACACTTCCTTGCGGTACTTCTGACGTTACTCTAACTTCCTCCTACTCTAAATATCTGTGTACGGCCCAAAAGGAATGCAACTACCCTTGAGTCCACTCCCGAGGCCGGAATTTTCATAACTTTAGTAAGGATGGATCATCTCTGAGCCAAATTCCAATCAAACATCTCTAGAATACCTGCTCCATACGCATGCTGTTTGTTATTAGAAAATATATATATATTCTGTTATATACTTTTATTTTAGAGGAAGGTTGTGGAAGGAATCTCCCAGTGCCACCTTCTCTCTATCAGTATATATTATCACGTGATTGAGTGACTACAGATGCATTTTGGATTAGTAATAGGGTTTATTAAATAATTAGGAGACGTAACTAGAAATAACTGCGACAGCCACGTTCAGTTACACACTCCAAAGATCACTGAAACTGCAGCACATATAAAGTGTCTTAGTCTTCTCTAGCTGTTGCTTAGTAGCGGCTTTCAAAGGTGGACGTGCCCATTTCTCTGGTTTCCCGAACTGTCTCCGGCCTCAGCTAACAGCTTCTCAATTCTCACAGCTGCAACTGTTAGCACCTGCTCACTCTGGTTTCTCGCTCGAGGATTTTCTTCTTTTTTCTTCTACCCTGAAGATGGAGGCGATACGTTCCTCTGAAACGTCGGTTAACACAATATCTACACAGTGCCACATCCCAGATGACTGCTTTCTCCATAGCCACCGCCGTGAAAACCTCAAATCTTACATCTCTTCCGTTATGGCATGTTCTCTCGTTTCCAGTGTGTCCACAGAGCTGTTCGCTAGCGACGGCTGTTGTACTCTTGCATTTTTTACACCGCTGTTATTTGTAAATGGGTTTACATGCCATAATTTCATAATTCTCAGACCAAGAAAACATCCTGTGCGTGTATATACACTCACGCATTTCTTGGTCTGACAATTATGAAGTTTGTGTAATTTCTTTGGTATGAAACATTCACAGATCGTTCTACAAATTTGGGAAAATTATGGGTTGCATTAAAACGTGCCCCATATGTTGTCCTCGACGATCACAAACATATGGAAACGAAAAACAAAGTTGTTCAAAACCTTCGTTAGCGTTTCTGTAGAAATGGCTTCAGTCTTTGATTGAATAGCATTTTTCAGTTCAGGAATTGTATACTGATTTTTCTGAACCAACTGCCTTTCAAATATCTCCACAGGAAATAATCGCAACGCTTTAAGTCCAGTGAGGCTGATGGCCATAAAGATTCCTCCTCAAAAAGCGTAGAACCTGGCTCAACAGAACACTCTCCTCAAAAAGTCACGAAGAAAGCCAAGTACGACACCATGGCTGTAAGGTTTCTTAGCGTTCTTCATTGAGAGTCTTATGACGTCGAGACACCCGGACTGTCTTTCATTAGCGCTCTGTACCCCCTCACAAATACGTAACGTATCACTATTCCATCTTTCGACAATGACTGAATCAGCTGTATTCTGTACGGAAACAATGACAATTTATCACAACATGTTTTCCATGTTGTGCTGTTTGAGAGACAAATTTGTCGCGCTGAACGCCACGCACATTTTCTCGGAGAACTTATTACTGCCTTCTGTGCTGCATCGACAGCTTCTTCCACAGGAAGAGTTTCTTCATTTACGCATGTTCATCACACACGCATCTTGTCTCTTCAGAGTGTTTAACATCCCAGCGTACAGTCTGTCGATGGTTCAATACGGACAGGAAACTCTCGATAATGTTGTTTGTCCACAGCCATACAAGAACCACCAGACGAATGACAGGTTTCAATAACAAACACTTTTTGCTGTGATGTGTACAAGGTTGCCAACGGCAATAAATTTCGAAAGTGTGTGGATATTTAATATAATTTCGTACTGTACTAAAGATGTCTCCCAATTGTTAGGGCTGGAACACACACACAGCGACATCGGTCGTACGGAAAAATGTCGTACGATATTTTTGCCGTACGACCTCCTTTTCATACTAGAGCGACCAAATACATTTCTTTGCTCTCCGATTGTCGTACGGTAGAAGTCTCATGTCGTCACGTATGAAAGCTAAGACTACACTTTATATTCTACTACTTGATGCGACATGAACCGTACGTACGTCGTACGACCGATGTCGCTGGGTGTGTTCCAGCCCTTAGAGTGTCAGGTGACAAAAAGCACTCTACATGTGTATACACCGCTTCTTTTAGGAAAATGCGCTTGCCGGCACTCCCACGTTCAGATTTATCCTCAAGGTTTTAGAGAATATACTACAGCTATATGACTGGAAGCCGGTCACGGTAGCCGAGCGGTCTAAGGAATGTACTGTCTTCGCTCGCTTGGAAACTGGGAACGTGGGTTCGAATCCCACTCAGGGCATGGATGTTTAGTTTGTGTGCGTTTTTCTGTGTTTGTGTACAGGTAGAGGCCTTGCGACGAGCTGATCACCTGTCCAAGGAGTCCTACCGAATGTGTAAGATCTAGAAAAACCGAAGTGAACGGAGAAGTTCATTGAGGTAGGCCTAGGCCCACTGGGGGGCTGTAGTGCCAAGGAAAAAAAAATATGGACGGGAAATTTCGAAGGGTGGGGAGGAAGGAAGCAAGTAAGTGAATTGAGCAATATAGTACCTCCAAACAGTTCACATTGCGTGAGATTCGAAATTCTTATATGGGCAACAAATATGGAGATTACAGTTTTATGGGATGTACTGCCTCATATTCTGACCAGAAAATATGGGCTTCAAGTTCCTCCAAAATATTGTAGTATCTTGTATTATCTAAGAAAATTCACAATGTCTCATCTGAGGAAACTGCAATCTTCAGTTCACATTTCATAAACTTACAGACCAGCATTATATATATATATATATGTGTGTATTTCCGTCTATTTCCAGGTTCAGAAGAATGGTTTCTCTGAGGCCCTTTTTACCATTTGTGGTGTATCTAGTATTCCCATCCTTGCTTATAGAAGCAAAGAACACTAAATTAGAAGAGGTGTTCCACTGGAACCTTCTGGATTTCGATTATCCTGATGATACATCACGAAGCAATTCCATCGAGTCCAAGCAATTTATACCAGAAAATAATCTACCATTAGGTCTTGAAGTCTGGAATGACAAGCTGTTTGTTACAGTTCCTCGCTGGAAGTCTGGAGTTCCTTCAACACTCAATTACGTTTCTTTGAGCGGTGAGTGAGAGATCTGTGATATTACAGCTCACCAATTAAATTAGTCATTAGATTAGTAAGGTAAAATTCTACTACAAGTGAAGTGTACCAGAACTTTGATGCTTTTTTCATTTCCTATATTGTGGGAACTGAAATATCTTTGATTTAAGTCAGTATTTAAAAGTGCTACTTTCCAAAATTGGAACTTTCTTTTATAAACTTGCATCCTGTTTGTGTTTTCTTACAGGTCATGTAATGATCTGTCACATAATCTTACTTTTAAAAGAATATTTTTGTTTTTAATTCTTACTTGTTACAAGTTTTAACCATAACCGGTCACCAAGAGGTGACGTACACAAATCAGCTACAGCAGTAAGTGCAATTTTTTTAAAATGTGGGGATGTATAAAACTATCGTTAAAGTAATAATGAAATAATGAAAGATACAAATTAACTTTACAAAGACAGAAATACAAAAAGGACAGTATACTTCAACACATAAGAATCATCTAATTCACAGAGTTAGACGTTTACTATTTAGCTCTAATTCCTTTATATTACGTGGCACTTCACACTCTAATATCATTCTTCATTTTTCTCATGCTGTATATATAGAGATCCAAGAGTTTAGTGAGGAGAAAGCAAGACTGTCTTCTCGGTCACTTAAATTTTATCATGGTGAGGGTTGTGTGTGTGGGAGAGGAAAGTGCTTAGTTTTTTCTGGAAAACAGGTAGTAGAAACGTATCTAAAATTACGCGAAAATGAGAGAATGTTTCAAAAATTAGTTGCGAGCACAGGGAATGGCAAATACCAAACAAACAACAAACTCCATGTCTTGAGTCCGCAAGCGGACAATACCGACCGAGAGACCGCCGCTTATCGGCGAAATTAGTGCGAACTTTAGCGGATAGAGGCTGTTGCGCGGTCAGCTCAGCGAATCCCCACGGCCGTTAATTTCGGTTTTCTAGACCGGAATGACAAATACCACAATCACGAAATCATTAATATCGACAATACACAATAAAACGCCGAAAAACATCAGAGTCACAAGGAAATGAGATTTGTGTTATAGGGCTGGATAGACTGGTATTTACCGTTAATGATAGTTATTGCAGCAACGGCGTGTGCCAAGGTCACTTCCTCCACATATGTTGGCAGTAAAGGGGCTGAAATGCATTTAGTGGAAATATATCTGTTCTAAATTTGTATGATTTCCTAAGAGAAACTCATGAAATTCTGTGAATTTATAATTAGAGAAGCCATACTTCACCAGCGCAATTAATTTCACTGTGAACATTTGTAAACCTCCTCTTCAATCCCTCCACACAGCATTGACCAGTAAAAACGTCCTTTCCACATCTGCGTTTTCCGTGGAGAGATATAAATTCTATGACTGTGTTATTATTTGTATATATATATATATTGTTTAAAATCCCGAAATACATTTTTCCGCCATCTATCTTCTGGAAGCTTCTTTTCGTTTAAGATTTTTGGTTTCCCATTGATGTATTTTGAAACAACAATATTGATCGAATGGCCCAGTTTCTGCTTTGTTAATGTAATACAGAAGTTGAGAAAATCGGCAAAAATGTGTATCCCACCATTTAACACAGTGGAACATGGAACATAACTCTAAAAGTCGGTAGTCCTGCAGAAATCTGGATGCCTAGGATTCCTATACACAGAGAGATAGCCCCCTTGCAGAAACCAAACTGTAACTTAACTGGGTTTAACCAAGAGGGCTATATAACAATGACAGTTATAATATGACTTCACTTTTGCATCAGTTTTTTTTTTTTGTGGTACATGGAAGTCTTTCTGATGTTTTGCTTCTGGTGAGTAGCTGGTGCTGTTTCACGGATTGCAATCTACATCATAGACGGCAAGGGCAGAATATAATGTGAGTTCTTGAAAACCTAATTGATGTAGTAAAATGTGTGTCTCTGAAGGCAAGGATTTCCGTATTAATATAATGTGATGTGTGTACTTCAAGGCAAACATATGTATATTAGTGAAGCTGAGGCATCACTCTGTTGACGATGACTCTTTATGGATGAAATATGTAATGACTAAAAAGGTAGTAAAAAGTTTTTTTTTGTAACTTTGTGTAATGGCTTATCTTATGACCTATTTTGAAATATGTTTCCATCCTTCCATTCTCAATTTCAAGTACATAGTTGTGTTATTGTCAGCTGTCATACAGACTTCATGTTCAGAACTGGAGGATGCATTATTGGACTGTTTGAAAGCAACGGCCTTGACAGCTACCTTGAGGAGCTGAGAGAAGCCATGAGAACCAGTCAGGAAGTACATCTCCAACTGGATACATATTTAACATAAGGCATGAGCTTTGACTACTGCATTTTTGTTCAGGCTTCACTATTTTCAGACAGATCATTAGGCTGCTGTAAATACGAGTATGATAGAAAATAAATCAAACTTTTATTATATTCGTGAAAGAGTGACTGACATTGAAGTATAAAGGGGAAATTATAAGCAAGGTTCTGTCTTCAAAAAGAAATATATTAACTTTAACTATCACTACTAACTATATAGACCACTGTCTTCTGGAATATGACACTTTTTAATTTGGCAGTCTTATTAACCTCAAGGAGAAATCATCTGCTTCCATCTTTATATTATTAAACCCAGAATTTATAAATTAGTATAGTACAGCAAACAGGAATGAAATGTTAACAATATCTCACATAGAAACAGGCTTTATGTGTTAACAATGCCTCTGCTGTACAGTGAAATTTTTGACCTCTCATTAACTTCCACTAAAGGGCATTTCCATGACTTGTTACAGGTGATAACAAATCTCCAAAACTGATACCGTATCCTGACTGGAATAGTAATCATTTACCAACAGGTAGAACTGAAGAAGGAAACGTCACTGAGAATGGAATTCACATTATCTCAGTGTTCCGTGTGAGAGTGGACGCATGTGACCGCCTATGGATGTTAGATACAGGCCTGAATGATGTGGTAGGAGAAGCCCAGCAACTGCAGGATCCTCGTATACTGATCTATGATCTTCGCAATGATTCCTTAATTCATAGTTATACATTAAAATCATCCCACATAAAGGAAGATTCATTTTTTGCTAACATCATTGTTGATGTAGATACAAATGACTGTGAGGGAGCTTTTGCTTATATCCCAGATCTTGGTGGTTATAGTCTCATAGTTTACAGCCTTAAAGGTGATGAGTCTTGGAGGGTCAAACACCATTACTTCCATTTTGATCCCCTGAATGGTAATTACAGTGTTGGTGGAGTCAACTTCCAGTGGGTAGATGGAGTATTCTCTTTAGCCCTTTCTGCTCCACATGATGATGGATTCAGAACTGCATACTTCCATCCACTCTCCAGTACAAACGAATTTTCTGTTTCCACTAAAGTTCTTCGCAACAAAACCCTTGCAACTGACCCTCACAACTTTGAAGAATTCAAGTTACTAGGTTCCCGAGGTCCACATACACAAGCAGGTGCCTCATTCTTGGATGAACAAAGCAGTGTAGTATTCTACACACAAGTAAACCTCAATGGAGTGGGATGCTGGAACTCCAAGAGCAAAGAGTACAGTCCTGAATACCAACATCTTGTGACCTCTGATAATGAGACCTTTATCTTCCCTAATGATCTTAAGGTTGACCGTGGAAGCAACTTGTGGGTACTGATTGATCGCTTGCCAATATTCATTTATAGAGGTCTTGATCCTGAGAGTATAAATTTTTACATTTTCAAGGGCTCTGTTAAGGAAATCATTAAGGACACTATTTGTGAAAAAAATTAAAGCTGAATTATTCACTGCAGCACATGTACTGATATTCACAATGAACTGAAAAAAAAAAAAAAATGTATATATATACATATATTATCAATAATTTGAAATAAACCGGATATTTGTACTACATCTAGAATGTTCGCTATTGGTTTCTGTAACTCTGTATGTCGATTCTTTGTCCTTTTTAACATTTATGTTTTTGTTAACCTTTATTCTTCTATTGTAAGAGGTTTGGATTTAGTATATCTGGGTTTAATCTCATATGTCACTCTTCTCTGATAAATGAATAGAATTAAATATTTCAATGAGTGGTTACGTAAATAATAACTATTTCTATAACTTTCTTCTGGTCTGGCTACCTTTTTTTGTTCAAGCATTCATCTTATTCCCACATGCTATTATCAATGCTCCTTTATTATTTTGTGTTTATGTTACTTGAGCCACAATCACATACTTCTCGTTTTGAAGCTCAAAGGAAATAAGGTGTATAAGGGTTTTGATGTTATTATGTGTTTTGATTAAAATATGAATTCTTGTACAGTTTATTCAACCTACTTTCAGAGAACAAAGAGTAGTATGGTAAAGTAAAGGTAAATTTGTTCCTGTGCTTAATGAGTTAAGCACTACTCCATGAAGCTGTATGGGGAAGTGGATTTATACATCCACATTTTTTGACCTTGGCACCAGCTGGAGGTGAGTGGTCAGTTTCATGACCCGGTTGCTTTATCCCCAGGGAAAGAGCCCCTGATACACATGGAATAGGAGGTTGGGTTAACCCCAGACTTGGAGAAGAGAAAATTATGAACCCTAACGGGACTCAAACTCTGACCCCTCAGTCATCCAGCCTAGAGGCAGTCACTATATCTACTATGCTATACATAACCCCCACATTACATAAAGCTGAAATGGAACTTTCTTTCCTCAGAACTAATTCATTGTGAACATAATTATTATGTAATAAAAATGTAATTCAATAAGGTTCATAACGTTTATTTGTAACATCATATTGAAGCCAGTATTTTATAAGATACAAAGAAAACTATTTTCTGTCTCTATGTATTGTGTGCAATGTAACTACTCTTGCATCATGAAGTAGATTTGGGGATGCAATAAATGGCATCAGAATTAATGTGTTATGCAGAATCACAAAGAGTGCCTTTGGAAAACACTTTCACTTGACGAAGTGTGACTATACACGGGGTTTGGATTGGTAATTAGATTTATTGAACACTTACAGGCGATAACTATAAGAAACTATAGCGCTATCACTACTTCACACACTCTGCACTTCATTCAGCACATGCTAAGTCTTCTTGGTTTGCTGTGTCTTCACCATATGTTGTCTGGTAACAGCTTATATCACTGTAGATCCCTCGGCTTCTGTGTTCATGCCCTTAATGGCCGGCAACTGTTTCACAACTAATTAATTTTAGACATATAACACCTTATAACACCTCAGCGTTGACAGCATGGAAAAGACATCTCCCAAGAGTTCTTCTATTGTTCCATCATGTGGCTGTCGTTTGGATGGCATAGAGAACATCATACCTGTGCTACTGTTTACAGCCATTACATAGCAATGGCTATTGTTTGCAGAGTCATTACTTAGTAGTGGGTCTACATGCTACATAATGTGCATTCCAAACTGATATGCCCCTTTCCAATAAACTGGTTTAACAAAGTATAACTCAGTCCAAATCAGAAACATCATCAATAGTAACACATTTGACTGCAGAATTTAAAGAGTGTCTACGATGTATCATCTTACACAATACAATTACAGCTACTACTCACTCATCAATATGTGTGGAAGGATGAAAGTAAAATATGCATCTGGCCTTCTAGAATATAATAATATATGGTTTTGTAGAGAGATACCAACATTTTGAAGGAACCTGCTGTTTTAAATAATTAAATTTCTAATAAATTATTATTTTCATTCATTCATTCTCACACACATTTCTTTACATTTTTCGCTTCTGAAATATCAAAATTTGGATTTGAGCTTAATACGATATACGAGAAGCATTCCGTATATAATGCCTCCTATTCTTTTTTAACGAAAACTATAACAGATGCAGCATAATGATGCAGTTAAACAGAGCAAGATTCCAGCTACTTACAGTTATTTTTCCACATAATTACCATCATTCGTTATGCACTTTTGCCAGTGATGAACAAGAGCCTGTATGCCATGCCTGTAAAAGTCTGTGCCAGCAGAGGCTAGCCACTTTCTTACAGCTGCAATGACAGCATCGTCTGGAAAATGTTGCCCACGTAGTCCATCTTTCATAGGCCCAAAGAGATGGAAGTTTGAAGGTGCTAAATTAGGGCTATACGGTGGATGTGGTAGGACAGTCCAGCCAAACTTTGCAATGTGTGCGGTGGTCGCCAAATTGGTATGGGGTCTAGCGTTATCGTGTTGCAAGCGAAAGGTTGTCTGCTTCTCTGGCCTGACTCAGGAAATGCGGGCTTTCAGCTTAGTCAGCATTGTCTTGTAGCACTCAGAATTGACAGTCTCACCAAGCTCCAGGAAATCCAACAAAATCACACCCTGCCTATCCCAAAAGACCGTGCACATCACTTTCCCTGCTGATGGCTGTGTCGTGAACTTCTTTTTTCTTCGGGAATCCGGATATCGCCACTCCATGGACTGTCTTTTGGATTCCGGCTCGTAGTGGTGACACCACAGCTCATCTTCGGTGACGATGCTGTCCAGGAACTTGTTACCTTCAGCCTCAAACTGGTACGACAGGTCCTGACAGACTTCCATTCAATGAGTTTTATGGTCCTGTGTAAGCATCCGCGGGACCCACCTGGAATAATCTTTGAGATAATCCAGCTTCCCCAACATCATTTCCAATGCATTACAGCCAATATTAAGCCACGCACATAGTTCCCTGGTTGTTATCTGCCGATCTGTACATATGAGCTGATTGAGGTGCTGTTCATTGTGAGGAGTGACAGCTGAGCAGGGATGCCCAGGGCGTGGCTTGTCGAGCACTTCACTTTCACCACTGTTGAAACGCACTACCCACAACCTCACTGTGCTGACATCCACTGTATCATCTCCGTACCCCTTTAGCAAGCGTCAATGGATGTCAATGGGTGCAATTTGTTTGGCAGTGAGAAATTCAGTAACACACCTCTGTTTCGCATACACTTCTATATCAGACATCATTTTGGTAGACTGCTCTGCTGTCGCTATCTGTCGCACGACAACCGAACTAACAGTACATTGGCGGGAAGGTTCAACCTTTACTATAACGCCACCAACATCCAGCTTTGATGTTACATATTAACACAAAAGAATAGGAGGCATTATATACGGAATGCCCTTTGTACATATTTGCTAACATCACTGCATCCTATCAAGATGTGTTAACTCTGTTCCTGAGTCCTTATTGTGTTGACTAGGAGAAGAGTTACCTACTTTTCAGGCAGATTTCTGTTAATGCACTAATTATAAATTTAACAACAAAATAATATTTTCCAGTAGATCTCTCCTGCTTCTGTACTTTGAGACTTACATTATTTAACACTGATATTTCAAATGCAGGAGCACGCGGTAGCATATTTGGTTGAGGCACTATGCTACAAGCCAGAAGGTCGCAGGGTCAAGTCCTGATGAGGTCACTAGATTTTTTCAATTGACCTATCCTTCCAGCAGCACTATGGCCCTGGGTTCGACTCAACCTCTAACAGAAATGAGTACCAGGAATATTCTTGGAGGTAAAGGGCAGCTGGGATGTAAGGCTGACAACCTTGCCACCATCTATGAACCGACTGTCTAGAAAATGTGGGAGCCTCAACATCTCATAACCCTATTGGCCTCAACGGCCTGTTACAGGGATACCTTTACCTTACATTTTTATTTCAAATGCATAGGTTATAAAACACTGAATGATTTGGCAAGGTGATTGTAAGTAATATGAATAATATTAGAAGATGACTGTGAGTAATGAGAAGGTAAAGATTGCAAGGAGAAGGTGATGACTAATATGAAAGTACTATTCTGTCGTTCAGGAGAAATTTGTGAAAATTCTAGTCAGGCAGCATGCTGCCTCCATATTTAGGTGGGACCCATAACATATTTTTCTTTCTCGCAATTCTGACCAGTGTGTAAGGTTCATGAGTTTTTGTGCATATATAGGATCCTGTTCGTTGAACAAAGCTGGGAGTGAGGGGGAATAAGGATTGGTGCCTTGTCTTGTATAACAGGAACAATGGATCAAGAAAGTTGTGCAGCCAGCTTTTTCAAGGCTCTCAATTGCACCAAAACACACACCAGTGACTGATATTCCTAAGTCTCACCAGCCATGACAATGCTTAACTTTCTATGCTGAAGGCTGAGGGTAGGTATCAGTGAGGATGAAAAGGAGGAAGCAGGCATGAAGAAGGGTTTATCTTAAAAGGAAAATGAGCCCAAATAGGGCAGTGGATAGGATGGGGGATGCTCTTGGGGGTTAAGGAATTGTTACAGCTGTTACTTGATCTGGCATAGGACTTGTGGAATGAGTATCTCTGTGGCATCTTCTGATTGTATGAATGATCTTCTTGGCAGGTAAATGCAACAAATCAATATTTTCCAACAAGTCTCTCCTACTTCTGTACTTTGGGATTTATATTATTTAACAGTGAGGTTTCAGATACATGGGATATGTAATATTGAATGATTTGGCAAGATGGATGATATCCAAAAAGTTAATAATTTTGTTAATATACCACCTTTACAAACTNTCCTTTTCAGGGCCAACAAATTGTTCCGAAGAAGTGGGTTGTCATCGGAATAATGACAAGACTACACACGTTGACACGAGTGCCCCACAACGTAATCCTTCCAGTCACACTATGGCCCTGGTGTCGACAGCCTCTAACAGAAATGAGTACCAGGAATATTCCTGGGGGTAAAGGGCTGCCAACATTAAGGCTGACAATCTCACAGCCATCTATGAGCCAATTGTCTAGAAAATGTGGGAGCCTCAACATCTCACAACTCAATTGGCCTCCACGGCCTGTTACAGGGATACCTTTACCTTTTACTATTACAAACTCTTAGATCTTATTAGCATTACATTATGCAGACCTAGTACTCACTTCTCTTCAAAGATTCAATAAAATTTATGCAACTAAAGAGACACACTGGTTGATAGGAAGGTTGTTAATTATGTTTATAATGTAGCATGCTTGATTTGTGCCATTTACAAATTCAGTAGGCTCCAGATTCTCTGTTGGGTTATTAATTAATGTTACTGTGACAGCTGGCATCAATGACCTCCAGGAGAAGTGGAAGTCACAAGTTAGGTAATGAGGTCTATCATGTATTTAGACAGCCAGAAAGAAATGACAAGTTGTAATATGGTCAGCAATTTCATTTTTAGCAATATGTTATGAATTCCTCCCATTGCCCATTTGCCTTTATTCTTAGCCATCCTCAGAAAGATTCATCTCTGATAGCAAACCGAGTTAAAGACAAGCTGGCTGATTTCTGTTAGTTAACATGGAACTAGCCATTCATATTTACTTACTTGTGCATTGAAATAATGAAGAGGATGAATCAGACAGTAGTGATTATTGCATGTTAGGTTC